TCATCATCATCATCACCATCATTCTCCCCTTCCTGTTTCTGCTCCTACCGTGTTCATGCTGTTCTCCTCCTCCTCCTCCTCCTCGTCCTCTTCCTCCTCCTCCTCGCTTTCTCCTTCTCTTCCTCCTCCTCCTCCTCCTCCTCCTCCTCCTCCTCCTTGGGAGTGTTGAAACCAGCAAATCGCCTGAGACATCCTCCCAAAACTGCTCCGAAAACAAAAGATGCCCAGCATCATAACGGCCAAACCGCCTGAGACATCCCCGCAAACTGGGCGCGAACGTCCTCCAAATCTGCTCCGAAAGCGAAACATGGTGGAAGAGAAAATTGCCAAACCGCCTGAGACATCCCCACAACATCCCACGAAAGGGCCGAGGGAAATTCCCCCCCCGCCGCTCCCCTTAGAGTGCTGAAACCAGCGAATCGCCTGAGACATCCTCCAAATCTGCTCCGAAAGCGAAACATGTTGGAAGAGAAGATGGCCAAACCGCCTGAGACATCCCCACAACATCCAGCGAAAGGGGCCGAGTGACATACCCCCCGCCGCTCTCCTTAGGAGCGCTGAAACCAGCGACTCGCCTGAGACATCCTCCAAATCTGCTCCGAAAGCGAAACAGGTTGGAAGAACAAATTGCCAAACCGCCTGAGACATCCCCACATCCCGCGAAAGGGGCCGAGGGAAATATTCCCCCGCCGCTCCCCTTAGGAGTGCTGAAACCAGCGAATCGCCTGAGACATCCTCGCAAACTGCTCCGAAAGTGAAACCTGTTGGAAGAGAAAATGGCCAAACCGCCTGAGACATCCCCACGCAAACATCAGCGAAGGGGCCGAGGGAAATACACCCCCGCCGCTCCGCTTAGGAGTGCTGCAACCAGCGAATCGCCTGAGACATCCTCCAAATCTGCTCCGAAAGCGAACCATGGTGGAGGAGAGAAAGGCAAAACCGCCTGAGACATCCCCACACAGTCCCGCGAAAGGGGCAGAATAAATACCCCCCCGCCGCTCCCCTTAAGAGTGCTGAAACCAGCGAATCGCCTGAGACATCCTCGCAAACTGCTCCGAAAGCGAAACCTGCTGGAAGAGAAAATGGCCAAACCGCCTGAGACATCCCCACACAAATCCGCGAAAGCGGCCGAGGGAAATACCCCCCCGCCACTCCCCTTTAGTTAGGAGTACTGAAGCCACAGAATCGCCTGACACATCCTCAACATCAGTGTGTGTGAGTCATCCGATGAGTGGACCTGAGTGAGTGTAGTGAATGTATGAGTACAAGTACGAGTGAGTCTGAGTGATGAGTGAGTCTGAGTGATGAGTGAGTCTGAGTGATGAGTGAGTCTGAGTGATGAGTGATGAGTCTGAGTCATGACTGAGTCCGAGTGATCAGTGATGAGTGGGTCTGAGTGATGAGTGAGTCTGAGTGGTGGGTGGGTCTGAGTGATGAGTGAGTCTGAGTGATGAGTTAGTCTGAGTGATGAGTGAGTCTGCGTGATGAGTGAGTCTGAGTGGGTCTGAGTGAGAGGAGTGGTGTGTTCTCGTCTGTGTTCTCCTCCGGCGCGGTCCGCCAATAACAAGAAATTCATACTTAGGATATGGGGAAGAAGAACCCCATACTTAGGATACGGGGAAGTAATTACTCGACGCGGGGCTCCCCACATATACATCTCATTCTCTTGGTACGTCTTTCTCTTGATATCTGTCAATGAACGCCTGTGTGCGAGGGCGAACCGCCCGCTCGAGACATTCCCACAGTCTGCAAGCATGAGTGCGATCAATAGCAAATCTGAAAGTTACTGATTCTGAGTGTGAGTTAATCTGGGTACGATTGAGCCTGGGTTTGAGTGGGTATGCGTGCGAGTAAATATGAGCGCGAGTGCGTCTGTGTGCGAGTGGGTCTGAGTATGGACGAATCTGAGTGTGAGCCAGTCTGTGATTGAGCGGATCGTAGCATGATGAGTCTGAGCATGAGTGAGTGTGGGCTTGAGTGGGTCTGAGTGTGAGAAAAAGTGTGTGTTAATGAATCGGAGTGCGAGTGAGCCGAGTGTGATTGGGTATGGATGTGAGGCAGTCTGAGTGTGAGTCGGTCTGCGTTTGAGCGGACCGAAGGATGATGAGTCTGAGCAGGAGCGAGTTTGAGTATGAGTGGTTCTGAGCGTGAGTCTGAGTGTGAGTAAGTTTAAGTATGGATATGAGCGAGTCTAAGTGCGAGTGAGCCTGCGTGTGACTGAGTCTGAGTATGAGTGAGTATGAATGCAGGAGAGTGGCGGAGAGCGGAAAGCGAAGGAGAGTGAGGCGGAAGCGTTTGAGTAAAACCTAAAGCTTTGGAACATCCAACCTCGATCGTCTGGCCCTGGCTACTCGAGTTGCCCACGTCCTCCTCCTCTTCCTCCTCATCATCATCATCCTCCCCTTCCTGTTTCTGCTCCTACCGTGTTCATGCTGTCCTCCTCCTCCTCCTCCTCGTCCTCTTCCTCCTCCTCCTCGCTTCCTCCTTCTCTTCCTCCTCCTCCTCCTCCTCTTCCTCCTCCTCCTCCTCCTCCTCCTCCTCCTCCTCCTTGGGAGTGCTGAAACCAGCAAATCGCCTGAGACATCCTCCCAAAAACTGCTCCGAAAACAACAGATGCCCAGCATCATAATGGCCAAACCGCCTGAGACATCCCCGCAAACTGGGCGCGAACGTCCTCCAAATCTGCTCCGAAAGCGAAACATGTTGGAAGAGAAAATTACCAAACCGCCTGAGACATCCCAACAAGATCCCGCGAAAGGGGCCGAGTGAATTATCCCCCCGCCGCTCCCCTTAGAGTGCTGAAACCAGCGATTCGCCTGAGACATCCTCCAAATCTACTCCGAAAGCGAAACATGTTGGAAGAGAAAATGGTCAAACCGCCTGAGACATCCCAACAAAATTCCGCGAAAGGGGCCGAGTGAAATATCCCCCCGCCGCTCCCCTTAGAGTGTTGAAACCAGCGAATCGCCTGAGACATCCTCCAAATCTACTCCGAAAGCGAAACATGTTGGAAGAGAAAATGGTCAAACCGCCTGAGACATCCCAACAAAATCCCGCGAAAGGGGCCGAGTGAAATACCCCCCTTAGGAGTGCTGAAACCAGCGAATCGCTTGAGACATCCTCCAAATCTCTTCCGACAGCGAAACATGTTGGAAGAAACAAGTGCCAAACTGCCGGAGACATCCCCACAAAATCCCGCGAAAGGGGCCGAGTGAAATACCCCCCCGCCGCTCCCCTTAGGAGCGCTGAAACCAGCGAATCGCCTGAGACATCCTCCAAATCTGCTCCGAAAGCGAAACATGTTGGAAGAGAAAATGGCAAAACCGCCTGAGACATCCCCACAAAAATCCGCGAAAGGGGCCGAGGGAAATACACCCCCGCCGCTCCCCTTAGGAGTGCTGAAGCCACAGAATCGCCTGACACATCCTCAACATCAGTGTGTGTGTGTGTGAGTCATCCGATGAGTGGACCTGAGTGAGTGTAGTGAATGTATGAGTACACGTACGAGTGAGTCTGAGTGATGAGTGCGTCTGAGTGATGAGTGAGTCTGAGTGATGAGTGAGTCTGAGTGATGAGTGATGAGTCTGAGTCATGACTGAGTCCGAGTGATGAGTGGGTCTGAGTGATGAGTGAGTCTGAGTGATGAGTGGGTCTGAGTGATGAGTGAGTTTGAGTGACTGACTGAGTCTAAGTGATGAGGGAGTCTGAGTGATGACTGAGTCTGAGTGGGTCTGAGTGAAAGGAGGTGAGGTGGTGTTCTGTTCTCTCTCTGTTCCTCCGGCGCGGTCCGCCAATAACAAGAACCCCCTCTTTCGTGGATATGAGGAACAAGAACCCCATCTTAGGATATGGGGAAAATGTCTGCGCGGTTGCTTTTTCTTTTGCCCAGCAGCGTCATCAAATTCGACCAAAACGGCTTCTAGCGCTCACATGTTGAAATCATTCGAACGACCTTGCGCGCGTGCGGGGCGGGGAGGGGCACGATCCCTGTCAAGTAATACATTGCAGACTACTCGCGCCAGTTGGCCGCGCGCGCATGTCGCAATCCGTCCAAACCCTTCATCGCCGACACGTGGACACCATCATCTGCATCGGCTTGATCAGCATCGGCGCCGTCATTGGCATTGCCAGTCATCGTCATTGTTTCCACCATTACTGCTAGTATCATCATTGTGTCCGTCGTTGCCGACATCGTCATGATACCGCGCCCGCATGAGTCACCGACTCGCACTGAACTGCCCGCGCGTCATCGCGGCTTGCGAGACGATAGAGCGTGTTTCTTGATTGCTTGGGGCAGAATGGGCATTATAGCCCCTGGCCCCCCCTCCCACCCCCGCTATAACGTAACGCCCCTCGCCCCCCAGTGCGTTCCGGGCAGTGCCGCCGTGCGCACGGCGGGGGGGAGGCGTTACATTATACCACCCCCCTAGCGTCTCCTCCCTCCAACAAGCGCCCACAATCGCCGAACATCGAGAAACGCGCTCATACAGACGAGGATCCTCTTCGCTTCCTCAAGGAGCAACTGGGAGCAGCAGCAGGAGGAGGCGAGCCGCCCCCCAGGGCTCATTTCTTTCCGGTAAATCCGATTCGATGCCAGCTTCGGCCAAATCGATTCGATTCGATTTCGACTTTCGGCGGCGAGCGAGGGGGGGAAGTGAGAAGGAGAAGGCCTTCTCAGAAGGCGGCGGGACTTTTCAGAAACCCTCGCGCCTTCTGAAAGGGTTTTGTGTCTCCGGGGAAGGCTTACAAAACTTCTCAGAAGTCCAGGGGGGCTTCCGAGCCTTCTAAGAAGGCCCGCCCCTTCTTTTCTTGCTCCCCGGGGGGCCCGCCGAGATTCCCTGGAGATCCGATGTGGCCCGATGCTTACGTGGCGCTGTTGTGCAGCCTGGCGCGGACCTTCCGCTCCGATTTCGATCTCGTGCCGGTGCCCGACCAGACGCACACTGCGACCCGATCCGTTTGATCGGTTCGGTGCTGATTGGTCCTGCCCCTGGTCGCAGGCGGTCCTCGAGGAGCTGCTCGGGGACCCCCAGGCGATCCGCGAGCTCTGCAAGCACCCGGTCTCCCGCGCCCCCGCGCCCCTGCGCGCCTCGGCGCCGTCCGCCCGCCATCAGCCTTCTGTTTCGGGGCTCGTTGCGCTCTCGGGTGGAGACGTGCCTCCCTCCTACTGCGCTTCTCCTCCTCCTCCTCCTCCTCCTCCTCCTCCTCCTCCTCCGCCTCCTCCGCCTCCTCCTCCTCCTCCTCCTCCTCCTCCGCCTCCTCCTCCTCCTCCTCCTCCTCCTCCTCCTCCTCCTCACGGCGGGCCGAGGGCGTCCAGGAGTCTCGACCCTTCGGCCCTGGGCCCTGGGCGCTCCTACGCAGCACCACGTCCGGGCGCCCCTCGGGCCACGATCCAGCCCGGTGCGGTGCAGGTTGCTCGGCCCCGAGGGCCGAACAACAGAGCGCTCGGCGCTCGGCACTCTGCAGCAGAGCGCCCTGGGAACGCTTGGAGGGTCGAGGATTAAGGCGTATCTCCACTGACTTTCGCCTTGACCTCGCCAGAACGAGCTTCGAGCAGCAAGAGCGAGCCGAAGCTGCAGGGCCTTGAAGGACCACGCCCCTTGGACAGAAGCCTTCGCGCGCCGGGCCCTGGGAGGCGGTGCTCGTGCGGCACTTCGCCAGCGTGCCGGGCGCTCGCAATTACCTTGGGGATGTGGCCTTGAAGCAAGATTGGAGCAACGGAGAACATGCCAGGGATCCATTTCGATGTGGCGTTTTCGTCTGACGTCTTCGTGCGTTCCCGTAGGCTTTCCCTCCTCAGGACTCGCTCTGGCAGCTGCGCTGCGCCTCGCCGAGAGCGTCCCGGGGGTGCCTGCATCGTTCTGGGCGGCCACCGTAGATCCGAGGTATGTCGGACGGGGCTAGGACGAGGATGAATATGTTCCAGAGCGTTCCCTGACGCTCTCAGAGCGCTCTGTAACGCACTGAGAAGGCCGCGGCGCCCGAGACATCTTCCAGAGCCACCGGCTCTCAACGATTCTCGAGGTATCCTCACACGAATTTATCCTCGCACTGGCTTCGTCTTGAGATTGAGAGTGCCGCCGCTGCAGGGTCTATCTCGCTCCGACCATCCCCGATCCATTCGCTTCGATGTCGGATTCGGCCAGCAAGGTCCGATCCGATGCTGGTCTTCGACGATCCGAGGCGGCCCGATGTTTGCGTGGCGCCGTCGTGCATCTTGGCGCGGCCGATCCGATTCGGTTTCGACGCCGTGCCGAGTCGGCCCGATCCGGCGCGCGCCCCGATCCGATCCGATCTCACGGTTTGATGCCGATTCATCCTGCCCTCCCATTGTGGAAGGCGTGGATGGGGGGACAATAGTTCTAGGCCTCGAAGGATCGCGCCGCATCGTCGATGCATCGGCGATGCGGTTGGGTGTGGTGCCCAACTGTCTCCACGCCGACGGCGCCGATGCACCGTCGACGTCGCCTGTGTACCACCGACGTGTCGGCGATGCATTGGCGATGCGGCGCGATTCCCTCGCCCCCATCTACTCCGACTCCATGTGCGAGGCCTCTAATAGTGTGTCCACTGCTCGGTCGGTTCGGTCAGGTCCGTTGCGTTCGTGCAGTTGCGGTTGGTCCGTTGCGGTAGGCCTGGACGGCCGTCGTGTCGTTCCTGCTCCATTGCGCCATTCTGGGTAGTTTGCGGGTTGTCGACGTGTTTAGTTGTGGGAGTTTGGCGTACCCTGTGAATTCCGTCTTTAGTGTCGATTAGTGTCGATTAGCGTCTGGGAGTCGATGAGATAGCGCCGATTCAGCATCGGCTAGCGATTGGCGTCGATTATCGTCTGGGAGTCGATGAGATAGCGCCGATTAAGCGTCGATTAGCTTTAAGTTAGGGTCACTCAGCGGCGATTAGCAACGACGAGCGTCGATTCGCGAGAGCCGACGAGATGGTGTGGGAGGCTCCCAGGAGTTGCCACCGAAGCTTCGGCCGGTGCCGGTAGTTCTGCCACTTCGGCCGTGCTATCGCCGTGGGCGGCCGCGAGTCCACTGGGGGAAAGGCAGAAGGGGCGGGCCTGCTTGGGAGGCTCGGCAGGCGTTTGGCCTCCAGCGAAGTGCTCCGATACGCCTTCTCCGCAGACGTGGGCAGCCCCTCAGAAGGGCCGCAGGGCTTCTGAGAAGCCCCGCCGCCTTCAGATGATGATGGGCCTGTTTTCCACCACCACCGCCATGGAGGAGGAGGAGGAGGAGGAGGAGGAGGAGGAGGAAGAGGAGGACCCCCTCCCCCTCCTACTTATGGTTGCTGCGGTGGAAAACAAGCCCACCAGAGAAGGCTTGTCCCCCCTCACTGCCTCCCCCCCCCCGGGGGCGCCGCCGAGTGAGGAGAGCAGGATCGAGGATCGATCGGGCGGGGCTGGAACAAGGATAAATGCGGGCCAGATCGTTCCGGGACGCTCTCAGAGCGTTCCGCAACGCTTTGCGAAGGCCGCGGCGCCCGAGACATCCTCCGAGCCGCTGGATGTCAGAGAGTCTTAGTTTATATTTCCCCGGCGTTATCATCATCCTGGCTTCGTCTTAGATTAGAGAAGGAACTTGGATGGATCTAAGCACAGGAACGTTGTGCCTCTCTGGGAGAGGGCCGCTCTTCTTCGGAGGCCTCCCAGATAATTCCCCCATAGGAAGGACCGCTGGAGGCCTTCTTGGCGAAACCCCAGTGCGTGGAGGCCTTGTGGGCTGTGTGGGCCTGGGCGCGCTTTTGCTGCTGCCTCTTGCTCCCCTTCCTCTCCTCCCGCCCCCTGCTGCTCGCCCCTCCGTCTCTTGGCATCGGGGCGAACTCCTCGCGCTGGCAGAAGAGGTTGTGGCCTGGGCGCTCGCGCAGCGCCCGAGGGTCGGCTGCTCGTCGGGGCGACCCTTCGTCGGATCGACTCTTTGGTGCGGGCCCGCGGGGCCGCCGCCCCAGCACCGGCCTCTGCGCGTTGGCGTGCTTGCTCTCTCTGGAGCCTGTTTTTTAGGGTCCAGCGACAACCCGGGTTATCGGACTTGCCCCCCCTCCCCACCCCCCAGGAGAACGTGACCTTTCCGTTTGTGCAGGTCCAGGGTGGGGGGGCGCGGGCACAGGCAGAGCTGCCCACAGCGCGAAGGTTAGGTAATCGGCCGGCCCCCTCCCCCCCCTGGATGACCCGGTTTATCGCCGATTCCCCCCAAACGGTCTCATGGGCTCCCGGAAGCCGCGATCCAGAGGCCACTGTTGCCAGAAGCCACGCCTGCGCGTAGCCGAGAAGGTTTACGGGAGGTTCGTGTCGTGTCGACCGGCTGCGACCCCGCCAGCAGCGTTCAACGTTGAATTCCGCGGGCGACCCAGAATCGTTCGATGTGGAACGATTCGGACGTTTCGGAAGCGGCCGATCGTTCAAGGTTGAACGATCCTCGCGGTGTCAGAATCCAACGCCGAAGTCGGCACGACACGAACCTGCCATGTGCACATGTGGTGATCTGATTATCTGAGAAGTCGGGGGGCTCGACTCGGTCACAGGAAGGGGCGACAGAAGGTTGTCAAAGCCAAGCTATGTGGCACCGGTCGTTTCGCCAGACGAGGGCACCCGTAGGCTTGCCGCTTCTATTAATGTATATGTATATATACACATATGTTGAAACGGCTGCACAGGCCGCGGCGCAGCTGGGCGTGGGGGTTGCAGGGTCTGCGGGCGCGCAGGGTATCAAACCTTTTCGATGGGCGCCACCGGCGGCGCAAGATCCCTATCGCGAATTGTGTGTGTGTGTCTTTTGTCGCGGGAGGGCCAGACGAGACAACGGCGGCCCTCTTCGGCCTTTTTTGTCCTTTCCTGTCCTCGTGGGGGTTTCTTGTCGCTGCGGCTGGATCCGCCTCGGAAGAAATCTGGAAGGGACCGGGGACTGGATGTGTTTGAGCCAGGCGGGACAGCCGCCGTTGTCTCAATTGGTCATTCTGCGACTCTTGATGTCGGGGATGAAGGCATCATGGACAGGGGGCGCCGCTCAGTTTGGACACTACGTCGCGCAGAGCGTGCTGGAATCTGGCTTCGAGGAGCTCTCCGGTCCAACGCCGCCCACCAGCCCTGGAGAAGGAGAGGGAGATGCAAGGGGAGCTCCGTCGCCAAGCGTTCTTGTCTTCAACGGGGGTTGTCACACATGATGTGTTTTGAACATTTCGGCTCTGGGAGATATCGTGTGAAGACGCTGGCGTAAACACATTCTCCAATCAACGCTTGCATTGAATGGGTCCTCGCAAAAGTTCAAGGATTTGGCGAGAGTATCTGGTCGGTTTCGGTGGGCGGCGTGGTTTCCGGGTTCCGATCGTGGGGTCACAGTGCTGTTAGGAGTTGGAGAACATGTGATGGATTGCGGTGAGCGGCCAGGTTCCCAAGTTCCTTGTTCCCGGTACCGATTCAATTGCCCAACCGATTCCGCAGGGTGGTTGGGTATGGCATCCCAGGGGAATGGGGAAATGGTTGAAAGTAGACAAAAAGAAAGTAACGGAAAACGTTTGATCCAGTTGAGTGTGACAGAGAGAGAGAGGGAGAGAGACAGAGCAGAAAGTAGAGATAGCACGTGGGTGAAAGTAAATCAATGAGTAAGGCGTAAATGGCAGAAATCATAGTGATGATAGTGCACGTTAACGGAGTGAGACACAATTAAGCGAGAAGAGGGAAGAGAGTGGAAATTAGAGGATTGAGGGTAGAAAACACATGTACATGGGGGATGGGATAAATACAGAGTATCCGAGCTGACCAAACCCAGCCCAAACAGAACACACACACAGTAATCCCCGTGTGAAACGCTCCTGTCGCATAAACCCTAACAATCCCCCGGCGAAATGCTAAATGGCAAATCAATTCACACACCCCACAAACACAAAGATATTGCAAAATCATGTCCCACCCACACCACGATCCCCCAACAAAGTCGCTAGCCTCTTCCCAACGTCCTACAATCCCCAAGCTAGATTTCCAACTCAACCAACCAACCCCCCAACAGCATCCCAACGACATCTCAAACTCGTTTCCAACCTCCAACAATATTCCAACGAAATCGCTAACTCCTTTCCTCCCCCCCCCGCCCACAATTAGATCGCCAACTCAATCCCCCCACCCATCCCCACAAGCACCCCACCCCAACGAAGTCGCAAACACAATTCCCGACCCCCACAGTCCACCAACGAAATTGCTAACTCAATTCTAAACCCTCCACGTTCCCCAACCAGATCGCCACCTCCTCACTTCCCCCCCCCCACACACACACACACACACACAAACACCCCAACACAACCGCAAACTCGTTTCCCGCCCACCCCCCCCCACATATCGAACTCGAGTACCAATACATTGCCAAACTCAAATGCCAGTGCAAATCTCAATTTCCTTAACGTTCCAACTCAAATCCCAACTCCTTTGGTAAGATATCCTGTGTAACGGCAACATCGGCCGGCTTTCTTCAGTTCCAGGCCCGAGGTTGCTTGCTCGCGGAGGTCGAGTGTTCCCCTGGCGGCGCCGCGCATTCCATTTTCCAGGGGGATTGCCCTAGAGATGACCGGTCTGGAAGACGAGGGACCAAGTCTTGAATCCATGCCTCCTCCTCCCCGCATCCATGAGATCCTTTGGCGATTTCTCTTGGTTCTGGGCCCTAGGACCCTCACGGACGGATCCGACAGAACGATGTGGTCCAGGGTTCACGGTGCCATTTATGTGTTCGGCACGATGTCGCATCTCGGGGGTTCAACTATATTCCACCGCCTCCCTCCTCGCTTCCACGCCGGGAAGCCGTCCATGTCCACTGATTCGGAGACGTGTTCCCGAGCATCTCGCGGAGCGTCTGGATGTTCCTCGGCCCCGATGGACAGGAAGGTATCCACATCCAACGCCCCAGGCACCCCTCGGGGCACATCTCCAAAGTAGTGGATGTGGCCTCTTCCCATCGTTCATCTCATCCACACCTCCTCCATCCTTTTTCTTGTGAAGATTGCCTCCCTGTCGCACCCCGAGACGTGTGTGCAGGGCGGGCCAGGCGTTTCGCCCGAGATTTATTCACCATTTCTGATCCTTAAGCTTACAGATGGCAAACGTTTCACGGACGGAAGGCGGGCTGTTTTCAACACGTGGTTCTCGTTTCAGCGCCGAGCGTATCAGTCCTAAACATTTGCAAGGGTTTCACGGATGGAGGGCGGGCGGTTTTAAGCATGTGGTTCTCTCCTTAGCGCCGCGCACATTCGGTTTTTTAAAGTTTGCAAAAGGTTCGCGGATGGAGGGCCATTATTTGTAAACATGTGGTTATCGTTTTGGCGCCAAGGGCATTCTTCTTAAGAGATGACACCTGTTTCAAGGATCTTATGGTTGACGTCCAAGAAACGGAGTTTTGGTACGATATAGCATTGTCAGGGCGTAGCAGCATTCGCTGTGTTGAACCCCCTAGAATGGTGTTCTGGCACGTTTCAGGGTCGTAAGGAATCAACATGGTTGACTCGCCTCTTGACGTCCCTGGGATGGTGTTTTGACACGGTTGCAGGAGTTCCAGACGGTTGTCTTCCAACGGGGCATTTCCTTAAGTGAAGATCTTTGCAGGGGCCTACGAAGAGGGAGCATGGAGGGAAGGTTGATTGCGGTATCGTTAATGAGTCTTGGATTTACATTGGTCTTTCTCCTGCTCCTCCTCCTCCTCCTCCTCCGTTTCCTCCCCATTATCATCATCATCCTTAGACCGCGCCCGATGGGGGACCAGGTGTCGTAGAGGGCAATGAGCAGGAGGAGTAGGAACAGGCGAGTGAGGAGGCGGAGAAGAGGGATGAGGCGGAGAGAGCGGGGGGCCAAACTCTGCCAGTGACGCGGCCAGGCTTTCCGTCGACTGGGCCCATTGCGCCACCAATTGCGGCGGCCGTTCTCGATCCTCGAGCCCTTTCGATCGTCCTCGATCGTCGATCCTCGAGCCTCGATCCTCCTCGATATTCGAGCCTCGAATCCCCAGACATCTGGCTGCTCCAATTTTGTCAGTGCGCGGGCCTCGGAGGTCCAGACTACTTCCCCTGGGCCAGTTTTTCGTCCCGATTTGTTTTTTTGACGCTCCCGAGGCTCCGCGAGGGCCCCAGGAGGCCGAACGCGGCCACGATCCCGCCGCTGCAATTTAGGTTGGAGCGCCCGATCTCTGGGCCTCGGCTATCCTCGACCCTCGAGCCGCGAGCCCCGACCGATCTCCTCGGCCGGGGCCGCGAGGAGTTCAAGCGCCGAGTGGCGGTCGCCATGCTGCGGGACTTGCCGAGGCGGGCCGCGCCCCCTGCCCCCTCCGCGCGCTCTCGGCTCCGAGGGAGGAGGGGGGCTTCAGCCGAGCATGTCCCTCTACAGGGAGTAGTCAAAAAACCAGTGAAGGGACGATTTTGTGATTATTTGTGGACTAATCTGGATTCTTTGCCGACTTTTTGTATTTTTCGTACGGGGACATGCCCGACCTGAAGGAAGGCGAGGGCGCGCAGGGGGAGGAGGACCGCCACAGGGCCGGCGGGTCCCGAGGGAGACGGGCATTCCGCTGCTCTCGGGGAACGAACGTTGACATAAACATAACAATTCGGAGGTTGCGCGGATTTCTCGGATCGGCGCTGGACCTTCTTGGCGGCGCATCCGGTGCCGCTCCTGGCGCGCGGAGCGCGCCAGGGAGGGGGGTTCAGAGCCGATCCTTGAAATCCGCGCGGACCTCCGAGTGGTTATGTTCATGTCACTGTTCTCGTTCCTCTGTGCTTGGCCGTGGTCGAGCTCCCGGGGCCCTCCACGGACCCCAAGACCGTTGGAGACGGCTCAGGACGAGAAGGTTGGCTTCGGAAGAAGCCCACGGGGTCCAGGCCGACCGAACCGAAGATTTTTCGCGTAAACACGTGTCAAAGGTCCGCGCAGATATTGTTGATCGACGCTGGATCCAGGGCCAACCCTGGCGCTCGTCGCGCGCCAGTTTGGGGGCCAGCTTCTATCGAAAAACTCCGCACGGACCTCTGAGCAAACAGATTATTCCAGTGCAACCCTACCTAGGAGTTGGAGCCCCTAGGAAAGCAGCATTAGTAGTAACAGTAAAGCTAAGCTAAAGCTAAGCTGAAGCTAAACTAAAGCTAAAGCTAAGCTAAAGCTAAGCTGAAGCTAAGCTGAAGCTAAGCTAAAGCTGAGCTGAAGCTAAGCTAAAGCTAAGGTAAATCTAAGGTAAAGCTAAGATTCTGCTAAGGTAAAGCTAAGCTAAAGCTAAGCTAAAGCTAAGCTAAAGCTAAAGCTCCCAGGGGACTGGGGGAACCGCTCCCAGGGGACCGGGGTAACCGTGGGGCGGGGGCCGGGGGAACCGCCCGGTCGGGGAACACTGCCTGGCCTCTTTAAGCTAAGAGAGTAAGAACCCTCTAGGCAGAGCCTAGGTAGGGAATTAATAAAGTTGTGTTCCGTCTACGGTTGGACTGAAGCATAAGATCGAGATCGGTTCGGAGAGGGTATCCCCAATATTCTTCGTGTGTTGTTGGATGTTCTTGTGCATTCTTGGGGAGGGTACCCTCGAGCGATCGCATGTTTTGGGAAGGTTGAACTTGCGGAGGGTCTCACGTTCCTTAGGGATGTTCTTCTGTCCTAGGTCCGACCGTATGGGCAGCCAGCACATCTTTGGTTGATGGGGCCTATCTCGTGCCTCCGTGCTCTCGGCTCCCTGCCCCTCTCCCGTTCCGCCTGTTCCTCCCCCTTGCCTCCGCATCCTCCTGTATCTCCCTCCCACCAATGACCCCCTCCACACACACACACATTCACACACACACACTTTTTTACCAGCCGAGAGGAGCCCTGTGGCAAGAGAGGGAGAAACGACGACGAAAGACGACACGACAGGGGCTAGGCGTTTTGCGTCGGCGGCTAGGCAGAGGGACTGCGCTGGCGAGTAATGCGAAGACGTCGCGCTAATTGTGCCACCATGCAAGAGGGGGAGGAGGACGACAGGGCGACGGCCGAGGAGGGAGGGAGGGGAGAGCCGGGGCCGCTCAGACGGGCGGGGTCACAACGCGTGGTGGGCCGTCGCACACACACACACACACACACACACACGCACGCACGCACACACACGCACGCACACGCACACGCACACGCACACGCACACGCACACGCACACACACATATACACACGCGCGGACGCACGCACGCACGCACGCATGCACGCACACATACCACATACCCGCACACACACACACACACACACACACACACACGCACACGCACACGCACACACACACACACACACACACTCTGTAGCCTTAGAGAAGCACCCTCGAAGCTCCTCGCCCTCGGCCTCCTCCACCCCTCCCCCCATCCGAACCGACTCCCAGGCCCGTCCTGGATCTCAAGGCGAGTCTGGCCTTTGGCGAGGGCCTCGCCCGGAGGCCCCAGTCGAACGGACGTCAAATTCCTTCCCCCATCTGGGCCTCCCCGCCCACCCCGTAGGGTGAGATTGAAGAGAGTGTGACGTGGAGTTTGTCTCATCATCATCATGCTCATCATCATCATCATCATCATCATCATCATCATCATCATCATCATCATCATCATCATCATCATCATCATCGCCATCATCGCCATCATCGCCATCATCGCCATCATCGCCATCATCGCCATCATCATCCTTTTCCTTCTCTTCCTTATGTTCCTTCTCGTCTTCATTCTCCTCCTCCTCATCCCTCCTCTCCCCCGCGCTATCAAGGCAGTAAGACATCCGTACAATCAAAAGCAATACCAAACCCATACATTCAAAAGCAATGCGAAACCCGTGCACTTAAACACAATACTAAATACATGCAAACAAACAACTAAGACACCCATACAATTAACGCAAACATAAATCCAAACAATCAGAAACAATCAGAAAACGTCCACGAACCCTGTGAAGGTACGAAGAACAAACAAACAACCGTCCAAGAAACATTTTAGGGCACCCAAACACAACAATCAATGATGTTCCTGCCTTCGGCCCTTCCAGCCCAGATCCGCCCAGGCAGCCTGAAGACACGAACACCATCGATGTTAGGTTCTGGTGGTGCCCTCACAGGTTGTTTGTTTTCGTTGCTTCTTGTTGGTTTGTTTGGTACCTTCACAAGGTTCGTGGACCCACGACATTTTCTGATAGGTTTTGATTGTATGGAGGTCTTTTTGTTTTTGATCGCATGGTTTTCTGATTGTTTTTAACTGTTTGGGTTTGTGATTAGTTGTGAATGCGGGTTTCTTTCTTCTTGATTGTAGGGTCTTCTTCTTGATTTTCATTGGAGAGGCTTCTTATTAGTTTCCATTGTGCGGGCCCCCCCCCCTCCTCCCCACTCCTCTCTCCTCCGCCCTCTCCGCTCTGACCTCGGAAGCGAAGAGGAGGAGGGGAGGAGGGGGAGGAGGAAGGATGTTGATGGTGGTGGTGACGTCGACGGTGATGCCGTTTAGGATGATGAATGTGATGATGTTGACGATGATGGCGGTGGTGGTGATGATGACGAGGGCGAGGGCGAGGAGGGATGATGATGATCATGCTGATGATGATGATGGTGACGATGAGGCAGAGGACGAGGATGAAGAGCGACGATGTTGATGTTTGTTACGATGAGGATGATGCTGGTGTTGATGTTGATGATGCTGGCGATGGCGATGATGCTGATAATGATGATGATGAGGAGGAGGAGGAGGATATTTGATGATGCTGATGATGAGGACGATGCGGAGGAGTAGAGAGGAGGCGGGGTGGTGACGCTGATGATGTTGATGCTGAGGATGACTCGGATGATGACGTATGAGCATGATGATGTTGATGATGTTTCTGATGATGGGACGGGGGATAGGGGAGGAGGAGGAGGATGGATGACGATGATGATGTTGATGATGATGAAGAGGGGTCACGGTCATAACGATGATGACGTGGACGAGGATGAGAGCCCATGATGATGATTGTGGCAATGAGGAGGATGAGGAGGACAAGCGATGATGATGATGCTGCTGATGATGATGATGATGATGGCGAGAATGATGGCAAGGATGATCCTGATGATGTTTATGCAAATGAGGAGGAGGACTTACGAATATTATGATGATGATGATGATGATGATGATGATGACGATGAGGATCACGAGGAGGAGGCGGGGTGATGGTGAGGAGGAGAAGGAGGAAGAGGATGAAGGGAGGAGGGGGAGGATGGGGAGGAGGGGCGATGATGATTTTGACGTTGATGATGAAGGATGAGGGATCATGATGTTGATGATGGTGAGAATGAGGAGAAGTGACGATGATGAGGAGGATGATATGGAGTAGGACGGTTGTCGATTATAATCGTGATGATGAGGAGAATGTGGAGGCGGACGACGACGACGAGGAAGAGGAGTGGCAGGAGAAGGATGAGAAGGGGACGGTGGCGCTTTGATGCAGTACCGGCTGTACTTTGTTGTTGAACTCTGAGGTTAGTTTTGGCGGCGGTGGTAAGGCGTAAGACATGTAGTTGCCGCTTTTCCCCAAACCAGATTGTGTTATTGCAGAGCTTGCTTTTTGCTTACAGTATGGCGCCTTTTTTGGCTTTCTTGTGGCGGCGGTATTCGGCAGTTCGGCCTCGACAACAAAACTCTGAAGCACCACCACAACAACGAGTTTGCCGCAGGGCCTCTCGTCCACTGCCACACCTGCGTGGGCCTCCGGTTTCTGGGTTTTTTATTTAAAAAACAAGGGTTTTGAGGTGTGACGCATTCATGCTACAAGGTGTGAAAGTAGCTTATATATATATATATATATATAAAATCGCAGCACACGCGATTGTGGCTGCAGGTAGTCCGGCACAGTAAATTGTTGATTTTGCGCACGCAGCAATATATGTGGGGCGCGCTTGCGGCGGGGCTCCAATGCGAAAGCGATGCGCGCAGGCGGACAGAAACCAGTGTCGCCGCGAATCTCGAGCAGAAGTAGCATCAGCAGAGTGCCCAGTAGAAGTAGCATACGACGCGGCTGTGGGCGCAAGGTCAGGAGGAGGTGTAGGATAATGAGTGAACGTTCGAGCATGACCTAATGCGCATAGCAATAACTGCATGAATACACAGAGGGCATTCTTGCTAGACCCGATATGGTCGAACGCCCGCGCTACAGCCGTGCGCGCGAGCAAGCCCGCGCCACGACATTCCGCTCGAAAACATGTTTCGGCACGAGGGAACAGGGCCCGTCAAATACTCGTAATTTCCCTCCCATCCCCGCTTTCCTTTCACGCGCGCCACGAAGCGTCGCCGCGCAAGACGCAGGCTC